CAGTAACTTTTAATTAGTAATTAAAATTGTTACATCAGTCAAAAACACCCAAGATAAAGGGTGCTGAAACCAAAATTATAAAGAACAGCAAAAGAGCGCCCCCCTATTTGTCCCTTGTTTAGCTAAACCGTCGGTCATCCCATTGGCTATTCTTCTAATCCATTTGAATCTGAAACCGACCTCTCTTGCTAGAAAAATTATCTCCCTCATGAGTCATGACCTACCAGAGGGTCCACACCCACAGATTCCTTGATTGCATCCACACTATCACTAGCTTAGAGTCACCCTCCACTTCTATCTGTTGGAATCCCAACTGTATGGCCAATCTCAATCCTTGGAGGGCCAAATCTTCAGCTCTGGGCGAGTCTAGCACCCCCTAATGGACCAGAATAAAGAGCCACTACCTTTCCTTCTCCATCTCTAAAAGCTCCCACCCCATTACTAAATGGTCCCGGTTTGCCAAACAAACTCCCATAAAGTAAACCTTATTCTTTGAAGTATTGATAGAGCCTGTTAACAGGTGTAATACATGTACTGTTCACAGACTTGGTACCCGCAGGGGTATTTTTGTAATTCTGTAGACATATTGTTATGTACGGCCAGAATAGTATAAATGCAAAGCTTCACTCGACTGAAGCTAAGTTTTTGTTGAGGCCTTAACTCAGTTGCCTCTTATTCTTCTTCCTCTTCTCCTTCTTCCTTCTTCTTTTCTCCTTCTTCTTTTCTTCTTCTTCTTGGCCTCCTGCTCAACAGAGCCCAACTCTCCTGAACCACAGCCTTGAAAGTTGGGGAATTTGCTACTTTTTTATCAGTGAATTTGCTACTATGTTCCACCCAATGTTTTAAAACGCGGAGGCATGACGCGCGTTCCACTACCTAGAGGCGTGAGGTGTAGTTCAGAATGCAAGAGGCGTAAGCCTCCCCGAACACAAGGAGGCGTAAGCCTCCTTAAGAGGAGGGGGTTAGGAGGAGGATGAAGAGGAAGCGGGGATCTCATTTTTTTATTTTTAATAAAAATCTTTTATATTAAGAAGAATAAAGATGCATAACATTAGTTGAAAGGCGAAGCCCCCCAGCCGAAGGGGCAGGGAGTAAACCACTTTCTTTCCCCTTATTTTTTCTTCCCTTCCCTTTCCTTTTCTTTTTCTTTCCTTTTCTCTTTTTTTCTTCTCTTTCTTTTTCTTTCCTTTCCCTTTTCTTTTCCTTTCCTTTCCTTCCCTTCTTTTTCTAACTTTTTATATAAGATGTGCATGAGGCATATGCCTCTTGCACCGGAGGTGTACACCTCAGAGGTGTCAGTGCCTCGCCTAGAGGCGCCTCCAGGCGTACGCCTCCCACGCCTTTTAAAACACTGGTTCCACCCCCTAATACACTAAAAACTCCTTGAACAGCTCACTTGTTTGTACCCAATGTGCTATTTTGATGGTGATGCTTTCAATTAGTTCCTCCTTAGACTTTGTTAAACCTTGGAAAATACAATTGTTTCTTTCTTCCCAAACAATCCACACTATTGCTTCTCTAGTGGCTTTGCACATAACCCTTCCTCTTCTTTAGCCATCTAAAGAATCTTACATCAAACAAAAATGCCACAAAAGAGGAGATGACCACCTGCAACCAAAGAGAGAGGAAGTCCAATCCCAAATACATGAAACCAATTATCAAGAGAGGCAGAAATTTCACCTTCGTCTTTGAAACACATACATATTAACCCTATTAAGAACCACTTCCCAACAAAAAGCCCTGATCTTTGGGGGCACTAGATAACACCACACTTCTCTAGCTGGAAAAGACACCTGATTAAGAGAGTGGAGGATGGCAGTTAAAAAAAAGCACACAAGAAAATGCCAGAAGGAGAGGCCATCCAAACATGGCTATCTGGACAACATTGGTCCAAGAAACCAGTACTCAAAAGAGGGGGGAAATTTTCATAAACAGCCCCTATTTCATCTTCCCTAAGCCCTCTCCTAAGACCCAAATCCCAAGAGTCCCCATCACCATGAATTGAGCAAATGGATTTCAATTTGTGCAAAGAAAGAGAGTACAGAGAAGGAAATCTATCCACGAGAGAGGTTTTACCAAGCCAAATGTCTTCCTAGAAGAGCCCCCCTTATTAACGGGAACAGAAAACATACCTTATGAAAGGAAGAAAAGGGATAGGATACTATGAATACCTTTCCATGGAGAAAAGCGTGAAGCCCTAGGGTCAAACCCAGTATCCTAGCTGGCCAACCATTTGTTCCCTTACCATAAATGCCAACTTTTTTTATAAGTAAATATAAAAATTTTCATCAAAAGAAAAAGAAGTACAATCTGGTTAGGTGTTAAGGCAACACCTATAAACATAACAAAAAATGAGAAAAACCAAATGAAAACATATCACCCAAGATACACATTTGAACCCCAAAAGTTCCCCAAGACTGTCCCCTAGGTCCTGTTTATTTACTTGCTCAAATTCTGGTAAGACTAGGACACAATCTGACACAGATTTGCCAATAGCCCCCACAATCCTGTCCATGTTCCAGGATTTATCCTCAAACAATCTTCTATTTCTTTCTTTCCAAATATTCTAGCAGATGGAAAAGGACAGACAGCTCCAAATTAACATGGCTCTCTTGCTACCTCTGAGCTTTGGCCAAGATGAGAAGATACCGAAGGACACCTTGGCAACAAGGCTGCAAACAAACTCCATATAAACCCAGAGATTCTTCAAGAAATAAATAAGTGGCTGACCGTCTCTTCATGTTTTCTACACATGTAACACATATAGGCCATACTGAACCCTCTGTTCTTTAAATGATCCACTGTCCATCGCAACTAGCCATGCAAAAGCTTCCAGCCTAGGAGGAATCAGATTGCCCCATACCCCTTCAATCTGATTTGAACCCAATTGGTCCCTGCACAGTGCTAAGTAAAATGATTTAATAGAAAATTTCCCATTTGAACACTCCTTCCACCACAACTCATCCCATGAATGGTCTGAAATTCTTACACTTTCCAGCTTATCCAATAATACAATACACTTTTCAATCTCCCTGTCAACGATAAATGCAACGATCACCTTGCGCCACCTATCCTGTTAAATAGCACAAAGCAAGGATCAAAATATCGGTACGCTCTGATACCCAATATTTTTTTAACTTTTTTATTTTATAAGCATTAAAGAGAATGCCAAGGATCATCCCAAAGTTTTAGATCTTTTCAAAATTATTTGTATCAGTGTATCCATGCATATTTGGGTGTCCCAATACGAATACATTACGCCTGATACTTTGATCCTTGTCACAAAGGGTGTATTGTGTCGATATTTTGATCTTTGTTACAAAGAGCCAGCACAACCCAAGCTCAAGCTTAGATTGGACCAAGCCAGACTCAATTTCACCAACACAAATTCCTCCTAGTACTGCATCCGATTTCCACTGAAGCTTTGTATACCAATTTGAGAAAATAATCCTTGATGTTCATAGGGTTACATGTGCTTTTTTAATAAGCCCCCCCCCCCCGAACACAAGGAGCCATAAGCCTCCTTAAGAGGAGGGGATGAGGAGGAAGAAGAGGAAGGAGGATCTCATCTTTCTCTCACTTTTTTTCTTTGAATAAAGATCTTTTATATTAAAAAGAATGAAGATGTGTATAATACTAATTGAAAGGGGGTCTTGTCAAAGTGAAGGCAGGCGGGTGAAGCAAGCAAGCCCATTCTCTTTCTTTCCCTTCCCTTTTTCTTTTCCTTCTTTTTCTTCTCCTTCTTTTTCTTTCCCTTCCCTTTCTTTTCCTTTCCCTTCCTTTCATTTCTTTTTTCCTTTTTTGTCCTTTTCTATGAGTGTGTCAGAGTTGAGACACATGAGGCATATGCCTCTAGCACACCTCATGCAAAAGGCGTATGAGGTGTATGCCTCAGGGCATTTTGGGGGCACCTCACCTG